GCTAAGGCGTCCTAACATTGCTTTGGTGACCGTATGTCCCTCATTCGAATTGACCCTTAAACTCCAATGATGATGCTACCTACTCATTAATAGTAGGATAACATTGTCTAAAGGACATTAGCATAGAACAATTCTTTTTTCGAGTAGGTAGATGGTTCTTAGATACTTGCTCTTTCAAAACAAAACTCTTCACACTTACACTCCTTTTCGAACAAAGTTTTCAAAAACACTTCATTACACTCTTGAGGACAGAAGCAAGAGTTAAATCGAAGTTAAAACAAAAGCTTTTCAAACCCACAAGCACAAAGAAAACAATTTTGAAAACAATGAGCAAGTACCTAAGAGCCCGTAGATAACTACGGATAGAAAGGGTGCTAATACCTTCCCTTTCTATAATCTACCCCCCGAACCCGAGAAATATCTCGAAAAAGGAATTTTTCTGTGCTTTTTTCCTTTCCTTGTTGGATAAAATAAAAGTTGGTGGCGACTCTTGCTTACCGCGACATTTTGCAAACACAAACACAAAACGCAAACCAGCATTCCAAAAACAGTCAGTTCTTCCCACCGTATCACAAGGTGGTAGCTGGTGCATGCATGCATGATAAATGTCACTCTTGCAGTGTAGGCGCAGGCTAGGTTGAAGCCTTGGAGAAGGCATCTCTGCATGCATGTAACACGATTGGATATGAAGGGAGGCGCCATTGGACTTGGCGAAAGAGTACAAAAATGAAAGGTGTCGCCATCCCTATTGGCGAATAAGAGGTGGCATGGGTTGCAGAGTAGGTGCATGCTAGGTGACAGCCTTGGAGAAGGCATCCCTGAATGCATGTAACATTATTGGACGTGATGGGAGGAGCCTTAGAGGTTACAGTGTAGGTGAAGAGTAGGCGCATTCTAGGTGGCAGCCTTGGAGAAGGCATCTTTGCATGCATGTAACACGATTGGACATGAAGGGAGGCGCCATTGGACTTGGCGAAAGAGTACAAAAATGAAAGGTGTCGCCATCCCCATTGGCGTATAAGAGGTGGCATGGGTTGCAGAGTAGGCGCAGGCTAGGTGACATCCTTGGAGAAGGCATCCCTGAATGCATGTAACGCTATTGGACGTGATGGGAGGAGCCTTAGAGGTTATAGTGTAGGTGCAGAGTAGGCGCAGGCTAGGTGGCAGCCTTGGAGAAGGCATCTCTGCATGCATGTAACACGGTTGGATATGAAGGGGGGTGCCATTGGACTTGGAGAAAGAGTACAAAAATGAAAGGTGTCACCATCCCCATTGGCGAATAAGAGGTGGCATGGGTTGTAGAGTAGGCGCAGGCTAGGTGATAGCCTTGGAGAAGGCATCCCTGAATGCATGTAACACTATTGGACGTGATGGGAGGAGCCTTAGAGGTTACAGTGTAGGTGCAGAGTAGGCGCATGCTAGGTGGCAGCCTTGGAGAAGGCATCTCTGCATGCATGTAACACAATTGGACATGAAGGGAGGCGCCATTGGACTTGGCGAAAGAGTACAAAAATGAAAGGTGTCGCCATCCCCATTGTCGAATAAGAGGTGGCATGGGTTGCAGAGTAGGCGCATGCTAGGTGACAGGCTAGGTAACACTATTGGACGTGATAGGAGGAGCCTTAGAGGTTACAACCTTAGTTAATTCAAATTCAGTATGACCTATTTAGTCTTACATTTATCAAAACACTGATTCACTTAATCTCTCAAACACCAGAACATTAAAAAATTCCTGCAAATAACTCATATACTTCAAACCTTTCAACCTTCAAACCTTCAAACAATCATATGCAATGGCCTCTGCACCCCAATATGTCATCAGTGCACATTTCAACGGTGAGACATACATTTGCCCCACCTCTGGGTTTTTTTTAGAGACACAGACAACATCCGATTTTGTTTAAACAGGAAATTCAATTTCTTGTACTTCAAAAAACGATTGGAGGCCAAACTTGGACGAGGCCCGGTGACACAAATATTTTATCAGAATCCAGTTTTTTTTGGTAACAACCAAATAATATTTTATAAGGTTGAGGTTCAAGATGCCGAGGATCTTCAGAATATGTTTTCCAGTCATGAGTATTCTGGGTATGACTCTATTGAGTTGTACATTATGCTGCGAGAGCCTCAAGTGACACAAGTGGTTGATCCTTTGGAGACCGAACAAGCAGAGGTAGATGCAGTTGATGAAGAAGAATATGACGAGTTAGAGTTTGATGAAATGGTCAATGATGATTCTGAAGATGATGAGATACCTGGTATTCCTGCAAACGAGATCTATACACCACCTCCGCACATGACAAACTTCAACATGGGCAGAGATGAACCGTCTTCTGATTTACTTTTCAATTCGTATATGCAGTCGGATGAAAACTTAAAAGAGAAAGACAAGTTTCATAACAAAGAATAATGTATCAGAGCCATCAAAAAATTTCACATGCTCAACTCGGTCGATTTTAAGGTGGACCGTGTAAATCCAGAAAGGTACAAGATCAAGTGTGTCCACCCTGATTGTATGTTCAAGCTCACTGCATCATACAGATTAAGAGGTGATTGTTGGGTCATAGGTTCCATGTCTACCCACACTTGTGTCAGTTCTACTCAATCACAGGATCATCGAAAACTTAATTATGATCTCATTTGTCAAGAAATCCTACCACTCGTTAGCAAAGATCCATCTTTGAAGATGAAAACCATCATCTCCCACATCACTACGATTTTTAACTATACTCCATCTTACCGTAAGGCGTGGTTAGCAAAGACCAAGGTGGTTGAAAAGGTATACGGAAACTGCGAGGAGTCATACCAAGAACTTCCTCGCTACCTGAATGCACTCCAGACTTATTCTCCGGGTAGTGTTTACATTCTGGAAACAGTGCCAGCATACGCCCCGGATGGTAGTCAACTCAATGGAAATGGAATATTCAGTCGAGTGTTTTGGGCATTTCAACCTTGCATCACAGGGTTTGCATCATGCAAACCAATTATATAAATTGCATCATGCACAAGATGGCAACAACAACATTTTCCCAATTTCCTTTGCCCTAGTCGAGGGGGAGACTGGTGGTGCTTGGAGCTTTTTCCTGAAAAATCTGCGAACACACGTGGCTCCTCAACCAGATCTCTGTTTGATCTCGGATAGACATGCATCCATTGAAAGTGCATACAATAATCCTGCAAACGGTTGGCATGACCCTCCTTCTACGCATGTCTATTGCGTTAGACATATCGTCCAAAATTTCATGAGGGAGATCAAAGACAAAACACTAAGGAAAGCCGTTATGAATGCGGGATATGCATTGACACAACCTACATTCAAATATTACCGCAACGAGATCCGTTTGTCAAATCCGGAAGCCGGTAGGTGGATCGACAATATTCCGGTAGAAAAATGGACTAGGTCATACGACAATGGCCAAAGATGGGGACACATTAAAATAAATCTAATTGAATCGATGAATGGGGTATTCAAAGGCATATGAAACCTCCCGGTCACTGCTTTGGTAAAATCAACATATTTTAGGATGGCTTCGTTGTTTGCCAAAAGAGGTGAAATGTGGAATGCGGTGTTGCAATCTGGACAACTATGGAGTGAAAGCTGCATGAAGTACATTAAGGAAGAAAGTTCCAAAGACAACACCCATATGGTTATAAGGTTTGATCGACACAACCACAACTTCATTGTGAAAGAGACAATCGACCACAACGAGGGTCTGCCAAGACAAGAATATAGGGTTGTACTACCTTCTCGTTGGTGCGATTGTGGCAAGTTTCAAGCCTTTCGTATACCTTGCTCTCATGTCATTTCCGCGTGTGCCTATACTCATCAAGACGCACTACAACTTTTGTCACACATTTACAAATCTGAAACGTTGCTCAATGTTTACAACAACAACTTCCCTTTGGTAGCAAAACCAGATTATTGGCCTGCATACGACAGCGAAATAGTATGGCACAATGACCAAATGCGAAGGAACAAAAAGGGTCGTCCCAAAAGTAAGCGCATCACAACCGAAATGGACTCCCTTGACAAGCTAGAAAGAAAGTATGGTTTATGTCGCCTGGTCGGACACAATCGCAAAAATTTTCCGAATCGGGCTACTGCCTCAACCACATAAAAATTGTATTACATAAAATATTTCCTTTATTATGTTGTAAACATTAGGGTTTTTTGTTAACAGTATTTGTTACAATAAATATTGCGCGAATAAGAAAAATAACACGATAATCCGTCTACGAAATTACAATTGTTAAAACAATATCATCTGACCCATGCATCATCAACATTACGTCGCTGTCTGTTTTGACTTCCTCCAACCAAACTTAGGTCTTCCTGTCGCAAGTGAGGTTGTTGTTCGTCTTTGCTGAATCCTTCGAATTTTCCCCCCTCCATGATGTCTCCATCTAGCCATCGCATCAACTCCCGCTTCAGACGCTCCATGGAGTGAATGTGCCAGCATTTCATTTTCATCGGAGGTTTTGTGGCGGAGAAGATAACATAACCATCTCTGGTAAAAATCATGGGCGATGTCATGACGCAAATAAAAAAGTAAAAAATAAGAAAACAGTGCGAGAAAGTGTGAGAAATGATGGAGAAATGGACGAATTATTTATAAAAAACAACATTTTGCCCTAGGAGCCAAGTGAGATGGCGCCTCCTCTCACTTTTATAGTGCATGCGCCATCTCACTTGGCTAAAAGAGAGAGGAGGTGCCAAGTGAGACGGTGCCCAGGGCTTATTGGTTAGTGGATGCGCCAAGTGAGATGGATCCTCCTTTGGGGAGTCATCTGAAACATGGTTATTTGCATAATTTTTTCTGAAATATGGTTATTTGTGATTTTTTTTAAAACATGGTTATTCCAAAAAAAAATTGGTTTATGCTATCTGCGGTGCATTTGAAAGCTGTACTGAGAACTCTAAGCCTTATTGTAATTGTTTGAGTGGTTTTGAGGCAAAGTCTCAGTCTGATTGGGATTTGGAGGATCACTCAGGTGGGTGTATGAGAAAAACAAGATTGCAATGTGAGAGTTCTGGTCACTCTAATGGGGTAAAGGACAGGTTCCTTCCAATCCCCAACATGGCATTGTCGAAACATGCACAATTTGTGAGATCAGAGAATGCAGAAGGATGTGAATCAATATGATGGAACAACTGTTCTTGTTCTATTTATTCGTATGACAGTAATGGGTGTTCAATTTGGATTGAAGACCTACTGAATCTGCAACAATTTTCTTTAGATGACAGTAGTGGAAAAACTTTGTATCTAAAATTTGCAGCATCAGAATTTAAGGATGCTAAAAAAGGTAATGGTGTGATTATCGGTATTGTAGTAGGTGCGATACTTGGCATAGGGGTTCTCTTGGCCCTTCTTCTATTTGTCGTGCTTATGCAAAGAAAGCAAACAGTTGGAACAGGTATGTCTGTTGAAGGTTCGTTGGTGGCATTTGGTTACAAACATGCAAAAAGCAACTAAGAATTTCTCTAAGAAATTGGGAGGAGGAGGATTTAGTTCTAGTTTAAAAGGAACATTGGCTGATTCAAGTGCGGTGGCAATGAAGAAGTTGGAAAGTGCTAGCCAAGGAGAGAAGCAGTTCAGAACAGAAGTGAGTAAAATAGGAACAATGCAACGTGTTAACCTTTTTTGACTTCGAGGATTCTGTTCGGAAGGTACTAAACATATGCTGGTTTATGATAACATGCCAAATGGTTCCTTGGATTTCCATTTGTTCATGAAGAATGATACTTATGAGGTTTTGAGTGTTGGAAGTAATTCATATTTAGAAGATGTTGTTGTTCAAAAGCAGTTGAGTTTTTGAGTTTGTTAGTCAGAAGCTATAAGCTTCTGAGACTGCTTAGTTAGAAGCAGTAGTATGATATATTAAGAAGTTGTTGTTAGTCAGAAGCAGAAGTTTTTGAGGTTACATCCAGAAGTATATTCAACTCAACTTCTGGGTTCTGAGTTTGTTAGCGTAGATGTTAAATTTAGTATTTCCTAATTTATACCTTTTAACTTAGTCATTAAGTTTACCTTTTAGGATCTACGTGACAATTTACTTTGTGTATAAATAGTCTAGTAGTAGCAATCATTTGTATCATTCTTTTTGTAAGCTTTATAGTTGTCATTGCAGTAAATATATTTTCTCTTACCTTTCCCTCATTTATTAACCTTGTGCACCAACAATTGGTATCTAGAGCTCCAGTTGGATTCACGGGAAGCATGAGTGAAATGGTGAGGCGTTGTGTGATTGATTTTGGTTCTTGAATTCGTGTTGAATATTGAACAAAATCTGAACAAAATCACATTTTTTGATTCTGTGGGATTGGGAAACACTGTGTTTGTGAGATCTAAGTGTTATGTACAAGGTTGAAGATGAACGAAAACAAAAATTTGAGTACTAAGCTTCCAGTGTTCGATGGAAAGAATTGAAATCATTGGATGATTCAGATGCGTGTGTTATTCGGTGCTCAAGATGTTCTTGTGCTTGTTACCAAAGGTTATTCTCCAGTTGTAGAAAACGCAACATAAGAGAAGAGAAACGCACAGAGAGACAAGAGGAAGAAATATCAGAAGGAGTTGTTCTACATTCATCAGTGTGTGAATGTGAATGTGTTTGAGAAGATTGCAGATTCGACAACGTCAAAGGGCGCACGGGATATACAGGTCAGATGTTACGGTGGTGATGCATCAGTGAAGAAGGTGAAGCTTCAGTCCCTAAGAAAGCAATATGAGAATCTCAACATGAAGGACAACGAGAAGGTTTCTGAGTACATCTCTAGAGTGATTCTGATCACTAATAAGATGAAGGCTTGTGAAGAAACCATTTATGAACAAGTAATCCTTGAGAAGATATTGAGGTCGCTTACTCCTCAATTTGATTACATTGTTATATCAATTAAACATTCTAAAGATCTGGACACCACGAGAATAGAAGAGCTGCAAAGAAGTCTAGAGGCGCAAGAGTTGCGTCCGATTGAAATAACTTATGAGAGGGATGTTGAGCAGGCTCTCAAGGCTTCTTTTGTCAAGAAAGACCAGAAGCAAAAGAGACATGGTGGTAATTCCTAGAAGTCAGAAGTCTTCTATTCTGATGAAAAGAAACATCAGAAGGGAAAGGAGAAGTATGACAAGAGAATGGTTCAATGTTACTGTTGTAATAGGTTTTGCCACTTTGCTAAGGATTGTTGGTCAAACAAAGAAGAAGCAAAAATATCCAAAGGAGATTCTGATGATGATCCTGTGCTATTAATGACTTATGAATTTGATGAGGAACCTGTGAAATTGTCATTTTCTAATTCTGAAGGGGAATAAGATGACTCTGAATATTCCGACTCTGAAGGAGTGTTTGAATATGATTCAGAATCAGAAGATGACACTGAAGATTCTGAAGATGAGTTAGAATTTGAGGTTCCTGAAGATGAGTCGGAGTTAGAAGATGACTCTGAAGCTAAAGACAATTTAGAATCCAAAGGTGATTCTGAGTCTGAAGAAGAATTAGAAGATGAGTAAGAATCGAAAGAAGATTCTGCTTCTGAAGATGAGTCTGAACTTGAAATTTCTGAAGAAGAGCTAGAGTAGAAAGATGAATAATCTTCTGGAGACTCTAAAGATAAGTCAGATGGTGAATCTTATTATGATCCAGATTTTGAATCTACAGATACTTACAAAATGTATGTATCAAAGTAAAATGAATTTAACATTATTGTGTAAATTGGAGAAACACAATCAATGCACACAAGAAGATAGTGTTTGATGGATGATGATTCCCTTCGGTTATGATTTCATGCATTCACGTATTTGATATAATGTGGACCAGTTGATCAAGAACAGACTGTTCAATCACAACAAGATCACATTAGGGTTTGATTCTTCTCCTTATATCTAGTTTTTGCTCTAGGAGGAATCACCAAACACGTTGACTTGTATTTTATGATCATCTATGCTTTATATTGATTATCCTTTAACTAATAGATACAATGAGTGTTTTCCGCAATTGTTGATGTTGTAGGTAAAAGCACAATAGATTTCCTCAAGATTGATCTAGGGATTCATGAGTTCATTTCTATGCCTTCCTCAACAAAGCTTCATTGAGATTAAAGCCCTATCATTAAATATTTTTTGAAGTAATGTCATGACAAAGTCTTTTATGATTCATCTTGACTCAAGTTATCAAATTTAGTTCAAAAGTACAAGGGTTGATTAAAGAAGTTTGACTCAATTGGACAAGTCTTTGATTTCAATGATCACAGGTACGTATCTCCTTCAATTCTCAAGATTTGGAAATGGTTTTGGTTGCTATGGTTTCTCCTTATCATCCTCAAAAACTTATATTCACATGACAACTTATATTCACATGACATGGGTATTTGTGCAAGAAGGCTGGTCAAAAATTGCAAAGGTTTCCCAAGGCATTTTCTGGCTCTAGGAGTTAGAGTTTTGAACTTCAAAGGGATATATCTTGATCATCTTGTGGTATTTTTGAATGATTCCAAAGACATCCTTATCTTCAAAGGGTTATTAACAAATCACTTCAAAAGTTTCAAAGAAATTTTGTATGGAAGAAACTTGATGATGAAGAAAGATCACAAGTCCTTCAGATGAACCCTCAAATTCCCTTGTGTGACTTCAAATGATCATAACTTGATCAATTTTTATCCCCTTGAGTCCATTATTTTTCCATGATGATCTTAAGGAGGTGAAATTCAACTCATCTTTTGTTTTCAAAGCTTGAAAATGGATGGAATATGCCTCAAGGATGTAAAAGGTTATAGGCCATCTCATAAATTTTCACAAATTTTGCAAGACTGTAACTTTTTCAATACTGGGTATTTTTGAGTGATCCAAGTTCCCCAATGCTATTTAAGAAGTATATTTAAAGATATCATCATTTATTAAGGAAATATTTTGGAGGAAATTCTTATTTGAGCTCAAAACATTATAGGTCACTTTTGAAGAAAAAATTGAAATTTTTCGAAGTACACAAAGTCAGCCTCTTTTTTTCCAACTTTGACTCAGCATAACTTCTTGCTCAAGCATCCATTTGGTTCCATTCTTTTCACATTGTAAAGATTGTAACTTCCTCTTTCTAAAGCTTCAATAATCATGCTCTAAGACCCTTTGAATTGAAAATGCCATTGGTTAAAAAATGGTATCTTGAAACCTAAGTTTCCTCTTAAGTCAGAATTAGAAATTCACAATATGGCTTCTAATCACCAGGTTTGCGCGCATTTTTACATCTAATAATGTTTAGTAACTATCCAAAAGTGTTTAGCATCATAAAACCCATGATTTGGATGAGTTTTGGTTCAAAACAAGTCACACATTCCTCATGTTGCAGGTCTACACGAATTCACTCAATTACACCCTCATTCGCACGCCTAAGCATTGCTTCATCCTCTCCTATAAATAAGATGCATATTCCACCTATTTTCACAAGCTTTTGATAGTCAATTGACCCCTGTTAAGATCCCACACGAACTCTGAAATTGAATTTCTGATTTCATACATTCTCACATTCAAACACCAAAAGCTCCATTCAATTAGCTTCATTGAACTTCTCTAAAGCATACCATACCACTATCCTCAAGAATCATGACCTATATTGATCTACAGAAGTCCAGTTTCAGAGAAACTTCTTACTACTTCGTTTAGGTAGATTTCTTGGTCAAATTGATCCAACTAAAAGACTAATCTACTCTCTGTATCCTTCTGATCCTCGTGCTCTTTATAATTTGCAATTTCATTGAGATTTGAGTGAGATATCCCAGATTTTCGTACTCGCTATTTTTTCTAGTTTTCTTCAAACAAATCCTTGCATAGTTTATATAAATTTGGAGCGATGGTACCATTAGAATTGCCTTGAAGAGAAGAATCTAATGGTACCGGTCTGGTTTTCTAATTTTACAGTTTTTAGGATACGATTTGGGGATGACTGGAGGTTGAAGATGATGACATGTCCATCTTCAGCCAATGACATGTAGCCACATTATTTTTTTGAAATAGATGTAGTATGCTTGCCTTACCATGATCGTGCCTCAGGATCCCTTGGATTTGATTACTTTAGTGAGTCAGACTCCATCCAATGTGCCACATTTTAAGTTGCTTTATTTTTTAAAATAAAAGATCAGGTGTGATATCCAATAAAGTCCATGACATGCACAGCACGCCAGATCCACTAGATCTGTTTACAAGCGCATTTTGACAATGATCAGATGGCCCATATTTTTTTGGTTTATTATTTAATTTCTGATTTTTATATTTAATTGTTTTAAATTTCAAAAATTCATAGAAAATTCATTTTAACTCCAAAAAATCTGAAACAATTATGGAAAATACTTTTTATTTTTCTCTTTCTGATTTTTATTTTTTTTTCATAATTTTATTGTGTTTTGATTTTTTTATAATTTTTCAGTTTATTTGAGTTGTTTTAAATATTTAAAAATACTTTTCTTATTTTTTTTAAATTCTGAAAAAAA